GGGAAGAAGCGGATTCCCGCCTTTCTTCGGCACGGGGAGCGTTTGGTTGAGACGCTGTGTTTTGTGTAATTCTTTTTAATTCCGAATTGCCGAGAGCTCCTCGAGCTACTGTTAGCTTCCTGACTTTTTAGCTGCGTTAAACGCTTAACGGTGACTTAAAGCCCCCTTATTTCACGTGTGCTGCACAGCACCGCTGGTTTTACTGCTTTTCGCTGGCAGCAGCGGCCCGCCGGGCTCGAAAGCCAAAAACTGGACAGCTCTACCGAATTGCTCCTCCGTGCAACTCTGCGCGGAGGAATTTGCCCGCCGGCGTTACTCGCAGATGCTAACGGTGGGTCCCACGGAGGACTCGGAGGGGCGAGGATGGATCAGCCGCAACGAAAGGGCCGCTCTTAAAAACTGCTTTGGGCGCAGCGGCCGGCTGCGGTCGCTGATTTTTCAGCGTTTAGACGCAGGAGCAGCACCTTGCTTACGCGCCGTTTCCCTGGCGAGCAGCGCTGTCCTCCCTTCTCTCGCAACGTGGGACGGGTACAACGTTTTCAGGGAAAATAATGATTCCGGTTTTCCCCTCTGAACCTTGCAATAATTTTAATTAGAGTATCTCCAAGAAAAACAGCCGCCCCTTTAAATCAGTTATAAAACCGGCAGACTTAGTCTCAGCATGTAGTGTCAGCTTTAATTATCTGGGCAGTTATAGCTGTATGTTATAAAAGTCAGGCAATTAGATGCATTCCTTAAAGCTGCGGAAAAAAATTGCTAGCTATCAAGCAGAGGAAAACCAGAGTCGAACATGTATCTGTTAATTGCGTGAAGCATTCAGCAGAATAGACTGGCGTGCAGATCGCGTTGCAAAATATTATGAAAATGGGAATGATTCAGTGCATAAATCTGGTCTGAATGGAGATGTCGGGGATCCAAGGTGTTGTCTGTGAACGCGCTCGGATGCCTCCGAGGGCTGCTGGTCCATTGGAAGGCTCAAACGTTTCTGCTCTGAGCTACGTGGCTGGGAAAATGCCTGCGGTCGGGAGCTTGCGGGGGGGGGAACGTAACCCAGGACGAAAACGTTTGGCTTGCCAGACTGCTGCTTCACCCTCGGAGAGATCCGCCCGACCCTCTCCCTTGGTTTCCGGCGCGCTCGGTGTTTGGGGCCCCGCTCGCCATCGCTGCTGAAACTTTTGAGCCTCTCGGGCCACGGGCAGAGGCTTTGCTGCGGGAGGCTCAAAGCTCTGAGCCTGCAAATACTGATTTGCAGCAGCTGATGGTCTCACCTGGTGTAGCTCTGATGAAGTCAAAACACCCCCAAAGCTCCTCTGAGCGTTTCTGTCGCTCTGCTTGATGCTGCGATGCCTCCTAAGCCCTTGGGGCGCTTTTTTGCTAGCTGAAGCTGGACCAGCTGAGATACTCCCTAGGGCGAAGGTTGGGGTCGGTCTCTTGTCCCTTCTGCAACTTCTCCTCCTCAGCGTACACCTCAATTTCAGGCTCGTTCTTCCTCTTTGCTCTCTTTGCAGGTGCCAGTTTGCACTTTGTAAGGAGCCCCCCCGGCAGCAAGGTGATAAAGACTCGTTACAGGATAGTGAAGAAGAACGTGGTTTCTTCCTCAAGTTCGTTGTCGTCCTTCAACAGCCCGGTTCCCAACTGGAAGACGAGGCGCCTCGCAACATCCAGGTAACTCTCCTAACGGTCCTGCCAATGCAGTTGGTAGGGACCTAGGACCCGTTAGCTTTAAGGGCTGAACCACACTGCTTTATTGTATTCCTGTTATGTGTTCGTCACAAGAATCACTTAATTTCTCTATTTGTTTAGCTGCTTCTGTGCAGAATTTATTGACTTAAAGTGTAAAATCTTGTTAGTAATCACGTTAGCCTGAGTCGAGCTGCTGGCAAACAGCTTACCACAGTCTGTTACTTCGTATTTATTCCCCATTTGAATTAATTGTTTCCGTGATCCAGTTAAATAAGCTATAAGGAAGCTGAGTAAATGCATACGGCTCTTTACAGCAGACTTAAGGAAACTTGCTGCCTGTTTTGGAGGTAGATGTGTCCTGTCAATGAAGCGTGGGTCAAGCGTGCTACCAAGACTAGGCTTGCCCTCCTCTCTATAACGTTGTCAGGCACGTTGGTGCTAAGCAGGAGCTTATGGAAAGCGTGTTCGAGGCAAAGGGCAGAGGACTGCCCAGGCGGTCAGTGCAGGCACACACTTGCTTCATGTGTTGTCCAGATGGATGGAGCGTGCTGGAGACGGGTGTCATGGCTGCCGTAGCAAGGGATGGTGGTGGACTTCTTGTACTGCCCTCTGAGTCTTCCCGAGTCGAGCGTGCAGACTTCTGTATTTCAGCTACAAGTGAACTGTGGTCGCGTTTGTGTCTGCTGGAGACTCTGCCAGCAGGAGAGCTCAATGTGCTTAAAATCACTCTCTGGCCTGCTCCCCATTAGCACTGTGGCCAGGCAGCAGGGCTCGGGGAGGCCTCTGAGGAGAGTCCATGGTGGCCTGAGACCCTCAGGCGCCTTGGGCCCAGCTAATGTATCGGTGTCCTCCATCCTTGCAGCCACTTGGTTTGAGACCTGTGCTGGGGACACCACTCCTCTACCCTGAGGCGCTTCAGCAAACCTCCAGGTCGCTAGACTAGACCCGTAATTACCTAACGGAGCACGTTACCAAAAAACACTCTGGAGACCGAGGCAAAATCTGGAAATTGTGTGTGAACGAAGGTTGTCCTGATAATTGATGCTGTTAAAAAAGGAGCTATCAGAACTCATGGTTTTGGCCATAACTCAGATCCTGGCTGTTCCTGAGATACAGATGAGCGCAGGTTATTCCACATCTGCACATTGCTGGCATCCTCCTCCTCCTGAAATGCTAATTTATCAGAGGCAGTGTGCTGAATAAGGAAAATTTGGCTCTACTCTGGTACGGCCTTGCCTGTTTTTCTTCATTTCAGTGCAGCAAACCAGCAGAGCTGGAGAACGCTGGGGACTGTCCCCTACCATCAACTCATCCGCTGGAGCAGCTGCAATGGTTAACAACATCAGCACCTTGCTCAGGGTGGTTTCTTCTAAGGGTTATTTCCTTTCTGTCTTTACACATTACTCCAAGGATTGACTGCTTTTATGGCATATGATGGCTTTTATGGAGAGACAAAGATTGCCATGATTGTTTTTAAAGTCTAGCTTTGCCCGATTTTTCTCTACAGTAAGTGAAGCTGGCTCAGCGTTTCACAAAGGTTCGTATTTGAGTGGAGGATTGTTTTTTGGAAAACTTGAGGGTGATGAGGCCAAGTACTAGGAAAACAAATTTAAAAAAAGAAAAGCAATTTTTTATTTTCAAAACAGTTGCTATTTTTTTTTAAATTAAAGTGAAGTCTGTTATTTCTTCCTGGTATGTCAAAAGATCTTAGTTTAGAAACTTGTAATCTGGCCGCATTATACTGGTCTTTGTTTCAAAGTGCCTCTTCTCGTATGGAAAAAGTGGGATCCTTTTGGAGTAATGGTTGATTTCTTTCCAGATTTTTAGAAGCTGGAGGCTTTGTGAGAATTGTGGCTCATGTTCCAGGGTCTGGAGAAGTGGGAAGGCAGAGATGATGGGAATGTCGCGAGCTCCAGCCTGACCCCAACTTAGCGTCTCCCACTTGATAGCACGGGGACCTCTCGGACCTAAGGCTCCAGTCACTTGCCTGAGCTTCCTCCTACTCTTTCTTCACCTTCTACTTTTAACTTTGATTTTTTTCCACCTTTTCTGTAGTCCTGAGATCCCCACATCTCCTCTAACGCCTCTCAAAAAGCGTGTTTTGCCTCCTTCGGGATGACTGCTGCTCTGCCTGTGAGCAGCACCTCTGGTGCAAGGAAGAGTCCTCCGTTCAACCCCACTTCAGGTCCTCGGGGAACCAACTTCCCTGCTTTTTCCTTTCCCCAGACAAACCACAAATTCTTTTTTCCTACTCCCTGGTCTTGGATTTGTATTGAATTGAGGTAGCATGTGTTTGCATCTTATCTGCCAGATAAAGTCCTGGTTTGCCCGCTGCTGTCACGCTATGATAGAGCACCAAACCATCCGGTACGTAATTGTTCCGTTTCTTCTTTGACCCAAATAGAAGCTTTTATTTGTTTGTTTGTTTGTGTTTTAAAGGATGGCTTCTGTATTGTGAATTTACCAGTATATTATGGTAAAGTCTTAAATTGTATTGCTTCTCGGAGGTTCATAATTTGCTGCTGGTAATTACAGTGCCTGGTATTTTGCGTGCAAATGAAGATTTGTTTCTCGCAGCTTGTAATCTCCTCCTGTTTTCTCCTGCAATGCTGTTATAATACTGACTCTATCCGCTTCTGGTCACTCCCATAGCGACAGTCCCTGGTGTTGGCAGATGCTTCAGCAAAGGAGGGGGGAAAGTAGGAAATACCTTTATAAATGTAGCAGGGGCGCCGGCTAAACGCCAGCCAAGCGAACGCTCCAGGATAAATGATTTTCAGATTAGCTCCAGGGCTATATGTAGAGTCGCTCCCGTAGTTAAGTCTCGATGTGCTTCAGTTAGGAAATGACCCCGATAGCGTCTGCCTGGATGCATTGCTCCTGGCGAGGGGTTCGTGATGGGGTTGTCCGCAGCCCAACCGTGCCTTTTCTTACCCTTGGCCGTTTGCCTGGTTCCTGAGGGCACCTCGAGGCCCTTGGTGTGGCCGTGACCCAGGAGCCGAGTGCGGCGCGTTGGGCAGATTGCCCCTAACGTGTGCTGGCGCATCCGGATCGGCCTCGAGCTTGCCCTTTGCTATCTCTGGCTGGGAAGCGTCTCCTTTTTCTGGTCCTGGCCCGGCGGTTCTGAGCAAATGTTGCTCCTTTATTTAAATGCCCTAAGGGGACCCTTTCTTCGTGGAAGCGATTGCTCCTATCTTTTCGTGGTTACGATGCCCGTTCTCCTCTTTGACCGCATTTGCTACAAATACTGCCCTTTTGTCGGAAGGGCTGAGAGGAGATTGATTTTTCTCTCTAGTTTTTGTGAGCACAAAATGCTCTGCGAGGGGTCTGGACAAAAGTGCTGTTTCAGTGTCTCTCCGCATTAAACGTTTCTCTCACCGGAGCCTCGAAGGAGAAAACCTGAGCTAGCTCAGGCTCGTCCCGCTCCATAATCGTCCCAGTTTTTATCTTGGGAGGGCGGAGGGAGGACCAGCAGCGGCGACACGGCGAGGGCAGGGGGCTTAGGGCAGCGAGCGGGAGCAGGAATCACGGGGCCCTGCGATCTGCCTCGCTCCTCAGCGCCGGGATTTCTCCGGAGCGGTGATCTGGTCTCCTGGCCGCCAGTGGTCGAGAGCGCCCGCTTGTCGAGTGATTTTACCCGTGTTAATCTTTGACTTCATTAAATGATGTGGTTTAGATCTTACGGCTGTTTCAGACAAATCTTGATAAAATGCCACCAGCAAATTAAAACAATTATATTTTCAAGAAGCAATAAATCTCGCGTTCAGTCTTCCCATTACCTTCGTTGTGTGCGATCAATCATCTGGACTGTCTGGTGAAAGCACATGGCAAATGCTTTTCCCGTGGTTTTTATGTTGTTTTTTTTTTTTTCCTTACGCTCCACTATGGATAGCATCCTCTTGGATGCGTAACAAGGAACGAAGTGTTAGGCTGGGAGCCGCTTTCCGAGGGAGGGAGGGGAAGTCCAGGCATTTGGGCAGTTGGAAACTGCTTGGGATTGGGTGCTCCAGGTGAGATCTGCCTTCCCGGTCCCAGCTGCGGTGTCAAAGTGGGTTGGGAAGATTCGTCCTTCTCTCCTTTCTGATGGCTCGATAATGTCTTTTGAGGCAAATTTGGATCTCGTTCCCTATTTGGAAAAAGAGCTTGTGTTGAACGAGATCTAATTTGGAGCTACATAAAGCAGCCCGGTCCTGCTGTCTTCACTTCTGATCACCGACGAGTGGTGCTTTGTGATTCCCAGATCATGCTCTGCATCCTGCTTTTTGCATGTGACTTATTGTCTTAAATTGCAAATATTTGGGAGCAACGATGGTGCAAGTGCAAAGCAGCTGTCCTGCAGTGCTTCTGTCCCGCCTGGGGATGCCGGCTGCTGATACAGCATGTGTGGACCAGCAGAGCTGAAGAGATGCTTCTGAGGAAAGGACTGTGTCTGGCTTGACGAGTGTCTCTTGCAATCCCTGCTTAGCAACCGAGGCTGGTTTGCTGCGCTTTTGTCCAAATAGCGGGCAGCTTTTGGTGATGGTGGCGGTGTGAAACATCGTGCCTGCCTGCACGCGCCGTCTTCCCCCTGAACTCACGGCTTTTTCCCAGGAACTGTGCTACGATTTACAGGGAGAAGCCTTGCTGGGACCGATGTGGCCAGCAAACTCCCCTGAAGCAGTAGGCTGAGATGACGATGGGATGCGTCCGTGGGAAACGCGAGCGATGGGGAGAGTCGCAGCTGGTCCCGCAGGTACCTCTGCTAATCCCTCGGCGATGAGTTGCTTTCCCCCCTTATTGCTGGATTGCATTACACTTTGCCCCGCTGCTGACTTTTCTGGAGGCGATAGATGGGAGTATATTTTAAATTAATTTTACTACACTTTTTGTAATATTTTTGTTTTAAATAGATTTATAAGCAACTCGGGGGCTATTTCTCCAAATTTATGAAGATAATTTTCACTCTCTTGATAAGGTTAAATTTACACCTGCTATTTCCATAT